ATTTTCTGGGGAGGCACCCTCCTGCATGATGTGAACCGCAACGGTCTCTCGAATCATGACAGAGGAGGACGTCACTGAAGTTGTGGAGGTTTCCTGCTCCATGCTCGCGGTCTCCCATGATTGTAGCTGGCCAAAGTCCTGCACGACCGACGGCCATTCCTGACGTCCATCTTGGTTCACAGCTTCTAAAAGGGTCCAGCTGCTGTGAGCCACCTCGGAATCTGTGCTGGTGACCATCTCATCAGAGGAAGCCCCTTTGGACTCTTCAGGGGATTCCTGATGTTCGATGAGCTCCGGGCTGCTTTCAGTGTGCGCAGTAAGGGAGAGGACGGATGTGTCCTCAGCGACCAAAGTGGTCTCATCTTCTTGGGTGTCCTCCAGGCAGTCAGGAGGCATTGCGCAATTATTTCCTGTGTCATCAGTTTCAGTTTGGTCTGGAGGTTGATCAACAATGTGAGCCGATGCAACATCACTGGTGCTCTGCTCTTCAGCCATTCGCAGACGTTGTCGCAAGACGCTAAGCTCATTATCTTTTTCCGATAGCTGTTGCTCCAGTGCCGAGAGGGCCACTATGAAAATCCATACAGATCAAAATGGAAAAACCATGACCACCATTACTTTTGAAGTCCTTGATTTTAAAAAAAAGCTTTATACCTCTGTCAGCTTCAGAAGGCGCATCTGCTCGGGGCTCCTCTGAATCCTTTTCAGAAATCTAACCAAGAGGAAGAAGAATAAAATAACTTTAGTTGGCCTGGTTACCTTATCAGAAGCATCAACATCAGTGCAGTAATCTGAAGGTCAGAGGAGAGAGTCGGTAATGACAGTGGAACAGTGCAGAAGAGATTAGAGGGCTCACTGCACGTCTATGACCTGGTTTCTGTCAGGTCTTGTCTGACTTTGCCGATAAGACCTTCTTATTAAGAGCGCTCACCAGCTCGATCTGCTGCTCCAGCTGCTTAACCCTGGCCATGGCGTCCTCCTTCTCGTTGATACTTCTGTCCAGTTGATCTGGAAAGAAATCAATGTGTGCTTAAGACAAAGTAAAATCACCAAAGAGGCAATCTTCTTACTCACCTTGAAGAGCCTCCATTGTGTGCTTGGCTTCAAGAGAATGTTCCTCATTCTCCCTGTGATCATCTTTGAGCCTGGTCATTTGTGTTTCAATGGACAGCACGGTGTCCAGAACCAGGCAAAGGTCATCTGGGACCTTAGTGTCCTCCGATGGCTCTACATCGCAGAGGGTCAGAGGTTGTAAACGTCTCCAAATCTCAGCCAAGATGTGGCTCTTCTTCTGGGACTCTTCCTGTCCCTCTTGAAGAGAAGCGAGCTCTTGCTCCAGCCTGGCAACTTCTGATTTTGTCTCCTCCAGGTGGCTCCGGCTGGTCTGGATGACTTCTGACTCTAATTCTCTGGTAGATGCGAGCTCCTTTTCGAGGCGAAATATTTCCAACTTGTCTCTCTCTGACGCATCACGACACACTACGGCACTCTCGTTCATCAAAGCCAACTCTTTTTCCAGCCTGGCAACTTCCATCCTCTCCTTCTCCAGGCTGTCGCTAGCTGCGTGGCTCAGCGATGAAAGCTCCCTCTCGTGCTTCGCTGCTTCCTCACTTGCCCGCTCCAGTGCTTTCTGAAGGGCCGCATCAGCTTCGCTGAACCGCTGGGCCCACTCCTGCCTTTGTTTGACAGCTTCGGCCAGCTCACCCTCCATTTGCCGGAACTCAGCAGTCAGAATCTAGGCAGACAAAGAGATCGTGTAGATTCAGGACACTTCCATGAAAGGCTCAAGTGGATTTAAGAATCTGGACCTGTTTTTGTTGATCCGCACTGGTGACTTCCTGCTGCAGCATTTCCAGTACTTGTGAACGTGATTTCAAGGCCTCCTCAAGCTCCTCACACCGTCGTTGGGACACGTGGAGGGCCTACGAGAAGGCACTGACCAAGATTAGCATCATTTGTACATCTTAATTCTTTTGCGTAAGTTCTCGCACCTGCTGCAGCTCGCCATCATTGGATGATTGTGCAGTGGCCCTCAGCAGCTCCTCTTCATGCTTCTGAATCTGCTCCTGGAAGCGCACATCCTTGTCGTGCACCACTGCCTGGAGGTGCTTCAACTGCTCGGCGTGGGCGGCGTCCTTCTCCTCCAGCAGTTTCTCAGTGGCCTGGAGTTGCGTTAGTAGCTCGCTAGTCTTGGCCTCATCTTCACGAAGCTTGCTTTGGAGCTCTTGCAGTTCGCCCTCCACAGCCACATCGCTTGAAAATGAACTGTCAGGAGTCTTGTGTCACAAAGAAAAAAAAAATAATGATCATGTTACATACAGACAGTGTAGTACATTTGATTGAGGGCTTACAGTTGTTCCTCCTTGTCCCTTCAAATCATCAATCTGCTTGCTGAGGGAGGTTATCTTGGCTTTGGCCTGTAGTTTGAGCTTACTAAAGCGAGCCTCGCTCTTCTCCCTTTCATTCTGCAAAGAGGAAGCACAAAGAATTGAGGAAGATTTCCTTGATGTTTTTCATCATTTATAGCCATTCAGTTATTCAACCTTGAGAAGTTCATCTTTGCCAGCCAGCTGAGTGTCCTTGTCACGGACAAGCTCCTTCAGTTGCACCACCAACTGCTCCAGATGGGCCAGATGCTCTTTGACTTCCTCAGGTACTTCCAACTCTGCTGCAGCCTCGCCTGCGTTGGCAGGAAGCTGAGGTGCGAGTTCACTCTCCTGGGGGGGGAACATTTAGTTCAAGTGTAGTCAAATTCAGAGCGGTAGTTTAGATTTTTCTAGATCTCACCTGTGTCTCTCCATCCTGACCCTCCTCTCCAGAGAGCTCCTGGAGGACTGTAGCCAGGCGGCTGAACATAAGGATGGCACTGCGCAAGGGATGGGGAAGCATGCGTAAATATGTGATGCATGCTTCATACGGTTTCATTTATGAGAACAAAAACACAGATTTATAATTAAAAAAAAAAGGATCAATTCTAAAATGAAAGTTTAGAATGAAGATGCAATACAATAAGTACACAGAGCTAAATACATACATAGCTCGATCTATATATCCTATATATGCATGCATTTTGGGCTCGGACAAACATTCATGTGTCCTGCAACACAGGCTGCGATCCCTAACTTCCGAGCCGTCACGAAAACAACCGACTTTTCCCGAACGCATCGTCCACTGCGTCTGCGTCACCGCGTTCTTCCACAGCGACGATTCACGAGAACTATTGCGAAATCCAACCAAGTAGCTGGACGCTGACGCCCAGAGAGGGCGGTGGACATGTCGGGATGTTACAAGCGGGGTTAGCATGCAAGGAGTCGGCTGGGAATCTTTGGTTGTTTACAGTTTCCGCGTCGATGCTACTTAGCTAGCTAACGGTTGCAAATTAGAAGCGAGCGTTTAAATGCTCCCTGGCGCGGTTAAAGGCCGTCGAGTGTGACAGTTCCTTATGGAGTCTACTAAGCGGTGAGGTTGGGTAGGAGGACATTTGACTCACCTGTATGAGTGCTTCCCGGCGGGTCTTCGGCGCTCTCTTTATCGGCTAGATCTCCTCGGATGGATTTCCAAGCAGAGCCACATCACCAAACTCTCCCGGAAACAAAACCTGCTCTACGCTGATTGGACGACACGGTAAGGCACCGTGTACCAATTCCAATGCAACAGGCCGTCGTCATCAACAAACGAATAAGTAAATAATCAAAGCTTTCTGAGAACATTTCCCCATTAAAATGACTGGAATTAGCTTAACTGAAATGGACATTGTTTTGCTCCATCTGGTCGGCGCTCCTTCGCCACCTGGCGGCAGTATAACTCCTCAGTAAGCTACAGTAATATTAGTCGTTCTTTGCAGATGATAGAGAAATTATGCCTGTGAGCAAGGGCAATTCTAGCATACAGAATAAAAAAATATGATTTCAAGTTTCTGGTGGCTGGGATTAAATTTAGGGATGCTTGAGCACCCCCCAAAAATGGGCTAGGAATGCCCATCTCTGAGGGAATTGTTAAATGTTATCTGTCGCCATGTGTTGTTCGCAACACAGATGCAATTCAACAGCCTGTCAAGGGCGTTTTGCATTCTTCGTTCATATTAAGCCAAATTCTGTCATTCTGTAAAGCACTCACCCATAATCAATCTGTACAAACTTTTATCTCGTGGACTATATAGGTCACTACAAGTCTCTATTGTAGTGATAGCAGGAAATTGTGGATGTGAATATTTCCAACAACTTCTCTTTTCTAGGTGAAAAATAATAACGCAATAATGGCAAGGCACGACCAGGCAGTCAAGCTGATTGTCAGCCGTGGCAGGCAGCTGGGGCGAAGCCTGGCGTTGCTGGCCCACTACGTGATGCTCTTCGCAGCCTTCGCAGGCCGCTTTGTGCAATGGATGGCGGACGCCGGGAGTTGGACCACGCACCTCACGCGCTGCACGCTATCCGCCTTCGACGGCGTCTACACGCACCTGCGACGCGCCTTGAGGTGGAAGACCGGAGTGGACTGACCATCACACTTTATCTCGTCTTTTACCCTGTGAACTTGAGGCCTTATGATCACGTTTTATGGGCTCTTATAATCCATTTATGTTACATTTGTATGAGTAGTTTCATCATTTTGGAGATGAAAGACAATGCCTCTGACAGGCATGATGTGTCGAAATATATGATGTCATGGCACTACTACAAAATCAACCCCCCAAAATTAATTGATATTAGTTTTGGGAAATATTGGGACTTTTAGTTGGAAAAACACCATGTTGTCATGGCATCTTTGACGATTGTAGCACTTAGACAGCATTCAGTCAGGACTGGGAATGTCTTTGTGGCAGCAACTCTGATTGATGACTATACAAGTTTCCAATTTTTTTTTTTTAAACACTAAATCATCAAAGGTCATATGTATGTATATATTTTTACATATGTATATTGTTCCAAAATACACTTTTGAACATACTAACTATAAAATTAAAGATAAAGGTTATCTTATAAAGTAGGTCTGAAATTTTTTTGGAAAAATGATTTAATTGCAATTTTCTTTCCTCAACAGGGTGATTGCAATTCGATTACTTTTTCTTAGTCCTCTTACCATGTTTTTTTTGGGGTTTTTTTTTTTTAGCAACATGAATTTTGATTTAATTAATTGGTCAGCCCTATGATAAACATTAGCCGCCCCCCACCAATTTTCCATTCAAACAGAATTTTCGTTTCTTTGTGTTCAACGTCACGACACAAGTATTGCATTAAAAGAATGATGGCACTGTCACACTGTGGGGGTGGGGGGGTCTCGATTTTACGCCCGCACCGAGGGGCCGCGCGCCTCCACGTGACAGATGAACGTGCCGTTTTGTCGTGTCAGCGTACCTGGCAAGGCGGCATCCGTTTTAATGGGGCTTCTTAACGCGTTAGATTAGATTACCTGCGGGGATTAGGAAGCGAGAAGGGCATCACAAAGTGGCCTACAAAAGGCATCGCAGCGGCTTCTGCCCTTCTTCGCCCGCTCTTTGTGTGACTGTGAGGTGCCGTTCACAGTAGACCCGTCGGGCAAACAACAGGCGGTGGTCATGGGCAATGCGACAGGCAGCACGGTGGATGACCTGCAGGCAGTGGAGATGCACTTGTGGTACAAGAAGTTCATGACAGAATGCCCGTCAGGTCAACTCACCCTGCACGAGTTCAAGCAGTTCTTCGGCCTGCGCGGCCTCGACACGGGGGCCAACGCTTACATCGAGCAGATGTTCCGCACCTTCGACATGAACAAGGTACGAGTTACACATTTGGCACAAGGTTCTCGACATTGATGATGTCAAGACCGATCAATTTATTTATTTATTTTCCACTGGTGAACAGCAAATTTGGAGTTCAATCAGAGATGACTTTTTTTTGTCCGGCACATCAGATTTTATATTTTCATTTTTGGTTTTTCAAGTTTGACGCATCGAAGCTTTTATGATGAGTTGTAATTTATAGCTCCGACGTGTCAGAAAATAATTCCACTTTGCTGAACCAAACCCTTAGTTCATAAATATTGTGAAATACATTACAATATGACATATTTTATTATGATTGTGAAAGTCTAATGTGGTCAACAAAAAAATTAGATTTGGAAACGGTGCAAAAAAGAAAATTACTTGCATCTCCGAGTTAAAAAGAAAAACTTAATTGGTAACCAGTGTGATCATTTTATGTATTACTTGTATTTCATTTAAGGTGTTTATTTTTCAGAAATGTTTGCAACTATCATTTACCGGTAGTTATTTTCCCAACTACATTTCCTGAACGAACGAGGATTATTTTTGCATTTCGACATGACTACCGGTATTTCTTTTCTGAAAATATTTGCAACCGCTTTCAAGTGGCTGTTTCATTTACTGTGCTAAAACTGTTTTTGATTCACCATTTTCTAACGTTCCTCAATATTGGGAATACAATCCTTTCGCTGTGTTGACAGAATGAAGTGCATCATGCTGAGAGGAGTTTCCAATATTTTGGCCAAATTATTATACAGTGCACTCACAAAAGAGCAATTGGCGCAATAGTCGTTCCTCTTTGATACTTTGAAGGGCGCCTCATTAAAACCCGCTGCGGTGAGGGACATATGCAATACCTGAGACGAGGTCATCGTCTGGCAGGGAGGGTGGGGGTGAGCCGCCATTGTAATCTTCACCGGGGAGATGAGCTGACAGCGACATGACGCACTCCCTCACAAACTTCTGCCTGGATAATTGGCCAATTAGGACTGGGGATTTTGGGAATTGCAAACGACGGGTGATCGGATCTCGGAAAAATGCACCGGCAGTGAGCATGAATGGGTGGCAAAGAATCTCTTGTAACTAGCCAGGCTAAACTTAGATCCTCCTTGCTATACAAAACTTCGATGCATCATTTCAACAAAGTTCCTCGACACCACTTGACTCTGGTGTACTACCTTCCGATTTAGATGGGGCTTTGGCGCCATCTTGTGGCATTTCGGAAAGGGCTTAACAAAAAACCCAAAAGGACAAAGTTGCTTCAGGGACTTAGCGAATAGTGAATGTCGAGTATGCGCTGCATTAGTGTCACCGTCTCAAGTGAGCAAAACGGCGCCCTTAGGACGGCTACATCGACTTCATGGAGTACGTGGCGGCGCTCAGCCTGGTGATGCGCGGCAAGATGGAGCACAAGCTGCGCTGGTACTTCAAGCTCTACGACGTGGACGGCAACGGCTGCATCGACCGACACGAGCTGCTCAACATAATCAAGGTTGGAGCCGAGAAGGGGAAGATCTCACTTGCCGGAGCCTGAAGAATAATGATGAGGAAGACGAAGGAAGCGATTGATCATGTGGTTGGTTGTTCCCTCAGGCCATTCGCGCCATTACAGGCAACGAGAACCAGGAAGTGACCGCTGAGGACTTCACCAACAGCGTCTTCGACAGGATCGACATCAACGGCGACGGTGAGAGAGCAAAATAATTTCTAGGCATTTAAATTGTTATTTACAAGATTGTTTGATCAATTTTGGCAATTTGATTTTGTATTATCAATTTATTTGTATTGTTATTTCAAAAATGTTCTTTGCCAAGCTGTTTTTTTTTTATATTTAAGAAACATGAAATAAATGTATATTTTCTTCCCCATTTTTTCGGTGCATTTCATTTCAGTGTCGTAAAACACAAACTAACTTCACTCATTATGTTCGATTGCATTTAACTTCACGTTTAATACCAAATTTATTTTGTGCATTTCCCCTCAGCCATTATTTACATTTAAAAACAAAATAAATGTAAGCATTTATTTCTACTTATTTGTAGCTCATCTTGTTTGTATTGTGAGCGTGTATTTGATGAGGAAACGAGACAACTGTGCATAAAGCAGACTCAAACGCTCAGGTGTACCTTAATGTTGTGTTCTACGATGACAGGCGAGCTGTCGCTGGAAGAGTTTGTGGCGGGTGCTCGCTCCGATGACGACTTCATGGAGGTGATGATGAAGAGTCTGGACCTGGCGCACATCGTGGCCATGATCCACAGCAGGCGGCACAGCGTTTAGCCAAGTCAATTCGAATAGAATAAACAAGTCCGTATGTGTCCAGATTGGAAAAAAAAAAAGAAGCAGTTATCAGGTCTATTGATTACAATTGTCCCTTACGTCTGCCAGTTGCATTCAAACAGAATCCAGTCGGAAGCGAGGGATTCAGTGGATACTAATTAACAGGCATTGATGGGAACATGTTTGTACTTTTGACATTTTTATCTATTAATCACACGAGCTGCTGCTGCCTGTTACTCAAAGTAGAAGCGGATCAATGAGATGGGCCGCATTTGTGACTAGTGCCTTTTTGGTTTGCTCGTTTGTACAATAAAGTTACTTGATCACTCAAGATTTGTGACGTTGTATTTCAATTTATTAATTTCATTCACAGCAAGCCGCTAATATGACTCATGTTTCACAAAGGCTAAAAAAACATCTATGCCTGTGTTGTTGCGTGATCAAATGCACTTTGCTCAAAGGATTACAACACCGCGCCACTGATGCTCACCGTTGGTTTTAAAATGCACACCGTGTCGTCGTCATTGTTTGATGCTTAGTTTGACGAGAGGCAACAGTTACGTGAAAGTCAAGCAATTTATTTTGTAATGGCCACAAGGTGACTGGATGATCGTGTCCACGTCGAGAGAAAGTATCTCACAGGAAGTCATATAGATACTTGATGATGTCAAAGTTCACCGTCCTGGGAAGAAAAATAACCCAGTGTGCGTGCGTGCGTACTCATCAAAGCAGCGCACCCGCGCGCACACACGCGCATACCTGGAAACGGCGCAGATGAAGTCCATAGAGACGGCGCATTTGTACTTGGGGGCGTCCAGCTGGTCGACGTGGCTCACCTGCGTCAACAGCTGCAAGGTGACCAGCGAGGAGATCTGAACGAGAAGCAGAGCGAGGCGGAATGATGACGAGTGGAGGCGGTTGCCGTGGATACCAGTCAGGTAAGGAGGGCCAAGCCAACCTGAGAGAAGATGCTGGCAGTGGGCGCCACCCTGCTGTCCACCACGCTGTAAAAGATGGCCAGCAGTCGGTCCAGAGGGAAAGGTTTGGGTCCTAGAAGATGGTTGCTCGTCTTTGGAGACGTACGTAAACATAAACGACCATGCGAGAGTTTGGGCAATGTTTCATAACCCGTTTGTGGAAGGAGAAAATCTTTCTGAACGCTCACCTTCTCATTCTTCTTCAGGAACTTGGTCTTTTTTATTTTGCCGTGATGCTGTAGGGAAGGAACATTACGAGATATGCATTTAAATGTTTTCTTTATTATTTTTTGCTCTGCTACGCAATTTTGTGCACAATTATTCATCAGTCTTTTTTGAGTTGATTTTTCTGACATCTTTTAGTATTTGAAATCATTTTATATTTTTCCTCAGACAGTCTAATAATTATTCTGTCTGTCGTTTTTTTAAAAATGTTGTACACCAAAAAAAAAATTTTTTTTTTTAAATCTCAGTCATTTATATATAGACATATAATAAAATCCTCAGCCATTATTTTAAAATGCAACGTAATTTTAACGCATTAAAAGTGACTTTTCAATTCAACGTCAATCTTTTTTTTCCCGTCAATCATTATTGTTCTGTCACCACCTCACCTTGACGAAGAAGCGCTTGTCGGTGCGGGCGGGGTTGTAAGACGCCAGGTAGGCGGCAATCAGCAGGAATTTGGAGTAAAAGGGCAGCTCCACATGGGTGTGAGCCGACAAACCTGACAGGAGGACAAAAATATGCAAGCGCACAGGAATTGGAACCCATACAGTGATTGGTAATGGAAGAAAGTGTACAGAGGTAATACACAAACGACAGCCGAAACAATAAATTGAAAACACTAAACTGAACTGACAGCAGTCAACCCTGTGTTACGTTCTCAATCGCTGACGGCCACGTCACTCGCCAGGTCAGGCCACGACTATTACAGCCATACACACGCAAAGTCAAAAATAGTGAATGCCAAGATGTTGACTCCTAGGGGCTAAAAATAATACCTGCACCTGGCATGCATGTTATTGCGTTTGATAAATCAAAATCATTTTCCATCCAGTGACTCGAAAGGATAATCAGTTGAGTAATATTTTTTAAATAGATTCGACAGCTGCAGCCATTGGAGTGACCTCTTAAAGGGCCTGTTTCAGTCTCCACTTGCTGCATCTTCTCCCATTCCAGGCTGAAACACATACAAATACACACATGAGGGTCAACATTTCTTGAAGAGAGGCGTTGAAAATGCTCCACTCACCTGGAGACCTCCCTCAAGTAAACCGTCTGCATGGCTTTCTTCAAGTGAGGCTCGATGTTTCGCCACAGCTTGTGCGTGTCGCTCTCTTTCGCTAGCCAACAAACAACACACACACGTACGTTGGCCTATTGTTAGCCACTTCATGCTACTTTAGGTGACTTACCTTTCCCTTCAGTCACAGGCTCGCAGAATTTGGTAAAGTTGAGTGCAGCCTAAAGCGAGAAACCAGCGAACAATGAGCATAGCCGGGGGAAAACAGATGTGCGAGGCAGGTGACGTTTGAGCCGCGACCCACCAGGTGGCGCAGCTCTCTGAGGTCCCGACAGACTGCGTAGAAGATGCCCAGCAGGATGTGGATGTAGGAGGCATACAAGTCGGCGGAATAGGACGGGTGCCTGTCTCGGGACAAGATCTGGTGCAGCTCAGCTATTTAAAAAACAAAACAAAACAAATACAATGAAATAGGCTGAACGAGCACATGTTCACACCTTCAGAGCGCTGTTGGAAGAAAATGTCGGGTGCAAACGTGCATCTCACATCGACATGCAGTGTGAAGAGTGGCACAAAAATAAACCTTTGGTGTAGTCGGGGAAGTGAAGCGGCAGAGGCTCCAAGCAGCCCGTGTTTGGCCGGAATGTGTCCCACACCAGCTCGCTGAGAAGCAGGACGGTCAAGTTGTCCTCCACCTGCAGACACCGCATGCAGGAAATCGTTATGAAAAAAAAAAAAAAAGACCAAACTGGGGAAAGAAATAAAAACAAACATATTCCATATCTTTCCCTTCAGTCACAGGCTCGCAGAATTTGGTAAAGTTGAGTGCAGCCTAAAGCGAGAAACCAGCGAACAATGAGCATAGCCGGGGGAAAACAGATGTGCGAGGCAGGTGACGTTTGAGCCGCGACCCACCAGGTGGCGCAGCTCTCTGAGGTCCCGACAGACTGCGTAGAAGATGCCCAGCAGGATGTGGATGTAGGAGGCATACAAGTCGGCGGAATAGGACGGGTGCCTGTCTCGGGACAAGATCTGGTGCAGCTCAGCTATTTAAAAAACAAAACAAAACAAATACAATGAAATAGGCTGAACGAGCACATGTTCACACCTTCAGAGCGCTGTTGGAAGAAAATGTCGGGTGCAAACGTGCATCTCACATCGACATGCAGTGTGAAGAGTGGCACAAAAATAAACCTTTGGTGTAGTCGGGGAAGTGAAGCGGCAGAGGCTCCAAGCAGCCCGTGTTTGGCCGGAATGTGTCCCACACCAGCTCGCTGAGAAGCAGGACGGTCAAGTTGTCCTCCACCTGCAGACACCGCATGCAGGAAATCGTTATGAAAAAAAAAAAAAATAGACCAACTGGGGAAAAGAAATAAAGACACACATATTCCATATCACACTCAGCATTGAATAAAACATATTAGACAATCTAATATTTATATTTCGAATATAACAGAAAAATATTTGCCAGTAAATTATGATGTGCACCCTGCCAAATTTGCCATAAGTAAAAAGCAGCTTCAGGTAAGATGCTGTTAGATGCTTACCAGTTCCTGAAGACGCACAAGAACCGAGAGCAGGTTAGCATCCATGTCTCGCAGCAACTCTGCTTTTTCCAACACCTGAAGATCACAACCGCACACTGAAGCCAACACAAAGATTGAATTTGACGCAAAAGTGCTTATTCTGTGTCCTCACGATGTAGCGCGTCTGCTCAGCGGGAGCCCGTGAGCGATGGTGCCTGTAGATGCGGACGAAATCGGACAGCGAAGGGTAGCGGGGGAGAGTGGCGGCAGCGTCCCCGCCAAAGAGGGCCAGCAGGACTTGTTCGAAGAGCAGGGCGGCAGTGATGCACTCGGCGCAGCTGATGGTGGCATGAGGCAGCTACGGAGGTGGACCACGCAGCGTTTAAACAATTGCTGCATATTTACACACACACACACACACACACACACACACACACACACACTTACCTCCAATTCCTTCAACAGAACGTTCACCACATAACTTTTCCCTGACGCCCGATGACCGTAGATGAAGATGCAAGGCAAGCTGTACTGCTGAGGCTGTTGTATCAAATATCAAATAAGACAACACAATTACAATCAACTTCACACCATCATTATTAGCACCGGCAGGTGCCAGCCTAAAGTTGCTGTTTTTTTATTTTGCTGTTTTCTTTTGTCTTGATTGAAATTATACATACTAATTGTTTTTTTTTTTTTTTTTAAAAACTAAGTGTTTTACTAAAACTAACTAACAAATCCTCCTTAGAAACTAATCACCTGATTAATAAAAAAAAAGTCGAGATGAAATAAAAACGAAAGATAATGACATCTAAAATAAAATGAAATAAAAGACTATAAACATGGTCGGCCCGTATGTAAGCGAACGTGTCGAGAGACCTCTTACCTCTCCCATGAGTGACAGAAGCATCCCGGCTTGGACCTCCCGACACGGCAGCTGTTCGGCCACCCTCCGCAGCCTCTCCTCCTCGTAGCCTGGATGCCGCTGCTGCTGAAGCGGCGGCGGCAGCGGCGACGACGACATTTTGCCCAAACTAGTACATCCGTTAGCTTAGCTCACCTAGCGTGGTTGTCAACAGAGGGCTTGAAACTCCACCAGATGTCTTGTCAGAGTGAACAAAACGAAGGCTGATAACGCACATTACTTTTTCACGACACGGGGGGGGGGGGTATAGTGTCTACATATCGGGAACTGGTGAAAAGACGGGGGGGGGTAGTGTCTACACATCGGGAACTGGTGAAAATCTGACTAATATAAACGTTTAATTTAAAAACGTGGAATTAAGACGACGCCATCGTCAACGAGAAGAGGAGTTTCGCGGGCATCCACATTGTATACTGTGCTTTCAGCCAATCATAATCAAGCCTCTTTACTAATGAACTATGGGTAATGTAGTTTTCGTCATGTTAAAAACCGACACGCTTATTTTTTTAAAACACGATATTCTGCTATTGTGTTGTATGCGACTCTATGGTATTCGACATAAATATATTAATGTAATAAGCCATAGTTGGTGAAAATAAGTATTTATTTCATAAAAGTAATAGACTATTTATGCACTTTAAACAAGCCATGGCAGCCGTTTCTGCAATTATTTTTGTTGATTTATTCATCCTTGCTTGCAGATGTAATTACATGCTCGATCGAGTGCCGCTGTGCACAGAGACCACACATGGCGCGCGCGCACGCGCGCATACACTGTGTAACAGGCGACGTCAGATGGGGATTAAAGGATGTGGGTTATCCCTGAAATATCCACGGCCGCTGTGTGCAGCTGATGCGTCGGATGAGCACTGAGGTTTTGCCCGAGTAAACAACTCATGCATGCTCGGGCGTAGTTTTTGTCGAGATGCTTCATTTCGGAACATAAACGAATGCAAAGCAGCTGCGTCAAATCAAATGATGCTGCGAGTGTGACGAAAGAAGCAGAGAAGGAGAAGACGGAAGAGGAGAAGGTTGGACGGTGGTGATAATTGAAAAAAGCCGTGGATGTGCAGCTGAGCGCGGGCATCTTTGCCGTCAGAAGGCGGAGGATGGTGCCCGGGGCCCCGAGCACCGGTAGCGCCACCAGCATGCTCCCCGCCTCGGAGGCAGCCAAAATCTACCAGACCAACTACGTGCGCAACTCGCGCGCCATCGGCGTGCTGTGGGCCATCTTCACCATCCTGTTCGCCATCGTCAACGTGGTGTGCTTCATCCAGCCCTACTGGATCGGCGACGGCGCCGACACTCCGCAGGCGGGCTACTTCGGCCTCTTCCACTACTGCATCGGCAGCGGCCTGTCGCGGGAGCTGACGTGCCAGGGCAGCTTCGCGGAGTTCTCCAGCATCCCGTCGGGCGCCTTCAAGGCCGCCGCCTTCTTCATCGCCACGTCCATGGTACTGGTGCTGGGCTGCATCGGATGCTTCGCGCTCTTCTTCTTCTGCGGCACGGGCACCGTCTATAAAATCTGCGGGTGGATGCAGCTGGCTGCAGGTGAGAGGGTAGCGCGGAGGCTGGCTGAGTTTAGAGCCTGGAGCGTCATCGATGGAACGTTCTCCCCCAAAATGTAGAAATGACTTGATGGTACCTCGCACAAGCTCACTTACACACTTAATTTGCTGCCCAGACTGACTCACTTATAGCCGTACCTGTTTTGGTAACCCCAACACGGTCAATTTCTTCATTTATTTTGGGAAATTTGGGTCAGTTATTATTTATTTTATATTAGTTACCCTTTCCGGGTTATTGCACCCCAACTTGGTCATTTGGTTAGCATAGTACTTTACACAAAGGTTATGCTGTGGTTGAATTTGGTACCAAGCCAAAGTTATGGTCTGGTTTGGTTATTGAGGTACGTCCCAACTGTACCTTTTGATTCAGTTAGTTTGGTACCTTTCACAGCATACAGTACTTTCAGTTACTTTGCTACCCTCCACAAAGTTGTTGGTTGGTTCTGTTATTTTGGTAACTGTCCAACTTTAGCATTGAGCCCAATTGTTACCCTCCGCTTGGCTGCGTTGTTTTGGTACCTTTGATTACATGTTAATCCAGTTATTTTGGCACCATCCTCAAGTTGAGCCCTTGGGTTGACTTTTTTGGGATGCTACATCAAGTCATGGTTTGGTTCCATTATTCAGGTCGGCCACGCTCCCGATTTAATAGATGTTATTTTGGTACCCTCCAAGATCCTTACCAGTTGGGACAGTTATTTGGGGATTCACACTCGTCTTGACAGCTACGAGGATTGGAATTGTGCAAAAGTGCAATTTGAGCAAAATTTCAATGCAGTGGAGTCGGATGGAAGTGTTTGGGGGTGGGGAGATGGTTCGGGGGCTGGCGGATGTAAAGCGCAGACGACTTGTGCGGATTAAAGGGGATCACCTCCTTTCACTAATGAGGATTTCCAAAGGCGCAGTAAGTAATCTCCCCCAAGCAACCGCTCATTGACAACTTGGCAACGGAGGAATGCTAAGCTAAAGCTAAAATAAGACTCTGTAGCTGCACAACAGCACCTGAATACATCCGAACAATGCACCGACGTCCTCCCATATTGTTCACTAAATTGTGAATCATTTTATATGATTGTGGTGGTGAAGGCAGAAGTTGTATTTCAAGGCTGCCTTGTTGCTTGGTGAATTCTTGTGACCGTTTTAAGCTCATGTCCTCATTTTGCTTTCTGCCTGCCTTTGAAGCTGGGCTGCGAGACCATTGGGGAAATGTCGCTGCTATGGATCCCCAACTTCTGAGGCTGAGGACACGTCCGCTCTCTCTCTTTTTTTTCTTCGCAGCATTGAGCACTCATGACTGAAGGGAGTTTGCAATTTCGTGGAAATTCAACCGGAACACTTTAAATGAGGATCTAGAGGCATATTTAACCTTTGTTTGAGGAGAACTGTGTGGACGTTAAATATTTCAGTCAAAAGTGTCAGTTCAACTGAGGAAAAGATGTGAAAATTGGTGTAGGGCTCAGGGGATGGGGGTGGGGGATACTGGATCCTTCAAAAATTGACATTTGATATTATGACACTCGACTCTGGAGCACTTTCCATGAAGTAAAACAAATCATTAATCATAGTATTTCAGAACTTTAAAATGCCCCCCAAAACAAAAAGGTACATATGACATTTCTTCTTAACCAACCGAATCAAAAGACTTCGAGGGAGTCACCGAAACCCAAACGCGACTGTTCGGTCCGTCCCCACAGGAACGTGTCTGATCCTGGGCTGCATGATCTACCCGGACGGCTGGGACAGCGACGAGGTGAAGCGCATGTGCGGCGAGCAGACGGACAAATACACCCTTGGCGCCTGCTCCCTGCGCTGGGCCTACATCCTGGCCATCATGGGCATCATGGACGCCCTCATCCTCTCCTTCCTCGCCTTTGTCCTTGGCAACCGCCAGGACAGCCTCATGGCCGACGAGTTGCTGGCAGACAGTAAGTGGCTCGAAATGGAGTCAATTACTAACCGGTGTTTTCCCACTTGCACAGCAACCCAACGAGACATTATTTCATGCCTAACTAGGCTGCCGCAAAAATTCACACTTATTTAGTCCTTCAAGCAGCTGTTGAGCCTATGCAGAACATGAAGGCTTGTGCCACGCTGTCCACAGCTGCTCAATAATGGTCCGGTCGCTATTTTAAATGGCTTTCTCTTGCAATTTCTCCCCCAGAGAGTGCGAACAACGCCATATGACGTGCAAGCCAGCCTTTTAACACGCATGTACAAGGTGAGGAAAGGGAGCAATTTCCTTCTTTTATAAAGTGGACAGTAATTCTAATCAAGTTTGCTTGTTACAGTATTTTCCAATGTACAGGTTATGACGTCGTCTGGTCCAATCAGAGGCTGAGGTGTTCGGAAAGATCCAAACAAATCCTTGAGGACGGCAAGGAACATTCAGTTTGAAATATATCGTTGACCTCGAACGGGCTGCTTCTTTTTGGGCAGCCCCTCCACAAGTTGCTGAATGTCTATGTGGATATAAAGACACTATCGAATGGGGGAAGAAAAAAAACAGACTTTTTATGAACCAAATTCATGCTGTCATTTGCTATTTTGTTACACTTAAATGTTCGTGATTAAGTGGTGGACGTGACTATGATAGATTTGAGGTAAAAACAAAAAAAGCTACAGTCTACCGTTGGTGAGTGGCTGTTACATGCAGTACATGTGCCATCCATATACGGTATCACTGTGGGGTGCTAAAGCCCTTCGAGGCAAATAATTTTTGGGGAAAAAAAACATCAACTGACGCAATTCATCTACCTCTACAGTTTACGCATGGTAATTTGTGTTTGTGTAACTCGCAAAATACGTCCACAGAATATGCATCAATAAGTGCATATGACCAAATATGGTGGTTCAGTCACATGGGCCAATGTACGTCAAGCATTGGAAGATGCAACCACTAACTGTTTTGAACTATTTGTGGCACCAAATTGATTAGAGCCAAGAGGAGACCCTGCTGGGGGATTGGTCCAATGGGGCCTTGAGAGACGAGTAGTTCGAACTGCTATTCGTTAGCCCGCTATGGTGTTTTGCATTGTCAGCATTGAAGCTAGCGGACTTTTAAGTGATGTGGTTACTCAATGCCACAAAACGACGCTCGAATCTTAAATATTTGCTGGCAGCAAGTAAAAGCAAAAAAGAAGAAAAAAAAAAAACAACCAAACAAACAAAAAAAAACAGCTTGTATCTCAAGGCACCACAGGTAACACCGCCCTCTGCTGTCCAGAATTGAAGGTGCAAGCGCCAAGACAGATTGTAAAAACTTGTGAATAATTCTTGTTTTTACTGATTTTAACTACTATTTGCATGGATTTACAGGATTTAAAAATGCATATTGATTTTTTTGAAGAGGCAATAACGTCCGCGGCACACTGGAGTGCATTTACCAAGGGAGACTTGTTACTGTGAGTTCACTTCTTGTTCAGATGCTGACCTGATGTTGCCTTGTCCAAGAGTGTCCTGTTGAATAAATATGGGGGAAAAAATATGAAAATAAATGTGTGCATCGGGGTTTTAAAGAAAACGAAAGTTCACAAAGCTGTTTATAAAACTGTCATTACAGTGATTTATTATAATGAACCATGAAAATAGCCACCAGTGCAGTGTCTGTGAGCTCCTCCCCTCGGCACAAACACACTCACGAATAATAATAATAATAATAACAATAATAATAAAAAAATAGGACAAAGTCGAAGAGTCCAGAGAGGGTGGAAATAAAAAATAATGTTACAGTCACGGAAACATTCAGCTTTGCCAAGAAGAGCTTTCGTATGTACATCCACGTTTGAAAAATGGGAGGCAATGGCTGCGAATTGTACAGGCGTAGAAAAAAAAAAAAAGCGGCTATTTACAAACGTGTTCCTGGTGAAAGCCGCAGTGACCACCTATCATACATTTAAATTACACTTTCTACAAGTAACGCTCCTTTTTGGGGGGAAAAAAAATAAACTTCTAGCATCCCGCCCGCGCGGGAGGCGCACATCCCGCATCAAACGTGTGAACACAAGTGCGGCACTTTCAAGGTGGTGAGGCCATCGCCCGCCAGTCTTTTTTCTGCGGCGCTCAACAGACTTCTGATGTCAGATGGAGGAATTTGAAAAAAAAAAAAGTCACTTTTTCCTCAACAAAACAAATGCGATAACGCGCCGCTAGATAAAGAGAAAACGAACAGAGACAACAGACAGACAGAGGAGAAAGGAAAGGAAGAGAAGGGGGGGGGGGGGCTGGAATGTCCACAGCAAAACAAAGTGTGGCTGAACAACAGAACAGGGCCCCGAATGAGACAGTGAAGTCCTCCCCAACTCGTCACAGGAAGGAAGTAGAAAAGGAGAAGAGCGCCAAAAGCACCGCGAGGGGTCGTCCATCTTTTACAGTTTGTCGAGAAGATGATGTCAGTCTGTTTGTTTTACTTATTTAAATACCCTTTTATCCAACAATCAGCTGTTTTTCCACTGGCCATAGAAAATATATCTACAGTGCCCCGTGTCTGGGGTTGCAAAATTATGGGAATTTTCAAAGTGGAAAGATTTCCATGGGAATTCATGGGAATAAACCAGAAATGCGAGAAAAGCGGGAGCTATATCATTTCCGTCAGTTATGAACTGTAATTGTTGGTGTTGGGAGCCAAAATTCAATTTTTTTTTATGTGTAGAAATAAGGTACTTGAAGTCGCTGATGGTGTAGTGGCACACTCGCTTAACTCTTCGCTTATTCCCATTAGGACCCCTGGAATATTTCCAAATTTGCCCATGGAAATTGAATGCAAATTTCCACAGCTTTACAACCTGACCCTCGTCCCCCAATCCCGCTGAGGCAGAGTTCAGTGCCACCCTGTGCTCAGGTAACCCGAAGTGTGGAAGGCCGTCGAGGAGGCAGGGCCCGCGCGAGCCGGCAGCTGAGGGGCGGTGGCCGGAGCCGAGCCTGGTTGAGTCTGTTGCGGGGGCGGAGGCGGGGGCGGTGGCAGTCCGCTCTGCTGAAGGGACGGGGCGTACGCGGACGGGGGTACCGAGGGGTTGGCGAGCAATGTCGTTTGAAAGCCCGACAAGTTCGGAAAATGGTGGGGCTGCATCTGGGCGCCGCCGGAGGGGTTGGGCGGCGGCGGGGGCGGCGGCGGAGGTGGGGTGAGGGACAAGGGCGGCTGTTGCTGAGCGGAGGGCTGGCCTTGCGTCAGCGACGGGGCGGCTGTCAGCATGATCTGCTGGATGGGAGCGGGCTGCAGGTTGACGTGCAGCAGGGCGGGGCTGGACATGGGGTGCGGGGGCGGTGGCGGCGGGGGT